CTGTAGCCTGTCATGTGTCCTTAAGCATGTCATGTGGGCTAAGATAGTGATAGGACTATTTAACCAATTTATGGCAACCTCTTCCTCTTACATAATTTTTTTATTTATTTTTGGTTCGCCTTCCCTCTTACCTATAGTCTGGATCTGAATTGAAAGGTGTGGTTCGGGTTTATGAAATCCGCAACGAGTCATGTTTTGATTATCTGTATTATTTTTTTTTATAGTGCCCTTTATATATATAATTCATAAAAAAAAATTAAGTAATTCAATAATCAGAACCTCTTCATTTTATAACATTTGTCACAAAAAAAAAAAAAAAAAAGATGGTCTCTTTTAAAAAGCATGCTTGGTAAAGATAAATACAATAAATCAAACATATTACGATTATCAAATCGATCAAATTTTGTTATGAATGACCATCTAAAATGAATAATTCAGATCATCAAAATGAAACTTATGATAAATTTTATAGATCCGAACAACACTTTCCAGTCTAGATCTAGAACTTGAAAAAAAAAAGCCAAACGCTTTGATTAATCATTAAATACATATAGTCTCGTCTTATAAATATCGAAGCTCTATGGGAATATCTTAACGGGGGTGAAAATATAATATTTTTTTCTTCTTTTTTTTTAAATTTTTAATTTTTTTTTTAAAATGAGAATGATAGGTTTATAATAACTAAATTTGTTAACGATTCTTTCATAGTAGAATGGTGGTCCAAGTTTTGTTCTCCATGGGGCGCATACAAGGCCCATGTGGTATAGGATGGAACAACCAGCTAAGGCCTTTTTCAGTTGGAACTGGGCTTTAGAAATATTATTCTCCTCTAATGAAAAAGAAAAAGAAAAAGAAAAAAAAAAAAAATCTTTCTCAAACATTTCTAAATCATTATTGATTGGGATTGTTGGAAATCAAAAACACATATCTCCTCTACTTTCAGATAATTATTTTTTTTTCAATTTATTTAAATTGTTTTTATCTAATAAATCGTAAGAAAAAATTACACCAAATAATTTAACAGATGCTCAAAATAAAAAAATAAAAAAATAATTATATATCATCTCTCTTCATCTGTGTGTGTGTGTGTATATATATATATATATATTAGTGGTTGATACACATGCTATGCAATTTTATCATACTATAAGCAGCTCCAATAAATTTTACCATATTTAGTCGCTACAAAGAAAAAAGAGTGGGTGCAAAAATTAAAAACTAAAAATAGTTGCTAGATGCCTGTTAATTTTCTTATTTATTGTTTGTAGTTGATGGAAACATAAATATTTGAATGATAAAAACAAATTGTGATATTTTTAAAATAAAAAACACACTATGGAATTTTACTTTTGAATTCACTAACAAAAATGTTCATATTATAAGTGGCATCTATACTACTATATATTAAAGAAAATGGAGTTTTTAACAAGGAGTATTGTGAAAGTTACAAAATCTTTTAATAAATTTGTGAATCTATTGAATTAAAAAATAAATTAAAAAAACAGTATTGGCTAGTCCATTAAAGTAATGGTTTTCAAAATATTAATAATTCTGTAATTTATAGTTTTCAAAATGAAAGATAAAAAAAATATTTATTATCTTTCCAACTTAATCCTCTCCCATCGGTTTTTATTTTCTTTAAAAAAAATTAAAACTTGTTTCTTACTATATTACTATATTATTCATACTATATACGACTACTCTCAAATCTTTAAAATTCATGATTAAAATTCGGACCTTGACAATCTAAAAATTGGATTGATAGCATAAAAATCAACCAAATTCAGCGTCAGATAATTGTTTCATACATAAATATACTTAATTATTCGCGTAAGAAATTTTAATATAAATATATAAATTTTTTACAAAAAAAAATTAATAAACATACCAAAAATATGTGGGTTACGTAAGTGATCATGAATTTCTCTTAAAAAAAAAGTGATCATGAGTTGGGTATGAATGAAAGATAATTCTCTAAAGCCTCGTTTGGGAAGAGACTAATTTAGTAATTTTTTGGCTATTTGGCTAAAATATAAGCTAAAAAAAACTAGCATGTTTGGGATAATTTTTTGGCATTTTACGAAAAGATATGCAAAAAGTAGAGAGAAAAGAGAATCCGTTTGGTTTGTGTTTGAGAGATGTGTTTTAGAGATAAAAAGTACGAAAAGTTGTTTGGTTTGGTTTTTTTCAAAAGATGTTTTGGAAAATTATTTTGAGAGAGAGTTTTGAAAAAAGTGATTGATTTGATGTGTGTGAGAGAGAGATTTGTTTGGAAAACTTGTTTGGTTTACAAGTTTTGAGAAATTTTTTTTGGAAAATTTGTTTGATTTGATTATTTTTAAAAACTTATTTGTAGAGAAAATTTTCTAAAATTTTTTCAGAAATACAAACCAAACGAATCCTTTGATTTTTTTTGTACGGTTGTGTTGGCTTTTTGATTTTTTTAGTGACTTTTTGACTAAACAGTCACTTCCCAAACGAGGCCTAAGAATTTAATTGTCGGCATAAAAATTGATCTAAATCTAACTTCTATGCTACTTTTAATGTTTAATTAAAGTACTATCACTCAAATTAGCTCCTACTATTCAAAACCTGCGAAATAATGATATAGTTCAAACATAAATTTCAAATTGATTATTACCATTTATTTCTATTAATTGACTGATCAAAATTTTCGATTAGGTAAAGTATGGTTAGAACAATGTCCATATTTTAGGTTGATCTTGGGTAATATTTTCACACATAATATACTAAACTATTCATGTAATAATTTTAAATATAAATAAATTTTTTTATCAAAGTTTGAATTTTTTTAATAACTATGCATAAACATGTACATATTTCTTATTTTATTATAAAAAAATAGTAACATATATTTATCTACTAATTTAATAAATAAATGTGTTAAGTGGTTCATTCTTAGGCACAGACTAAGACAATTCTCTAATAATCAAGTCATGGCTAAGGTAAGATGAATGTTGAGTCAATTAGATTATATCACTTTTAATATCTAGCATAACTATAAACAGTTCTGCTACATAGCTCAAAATTGGCCCAAATTCAAAATGACGTCGTTTTAGAATAGTTTTATTTTATTTTATTTTATTTAGGCAGAAGAAGGCAAAAGAAGAAGAAAGAAGAGGAGCAGAGAGAGAGAGAGAGTGGAATTTTTTTTTTCATCCTTTCCATAACTGGAAATCAAACCAAAAATCATCATCAACATAGCAGAAAATCAAATAAAAAATCATCAACATAGCAGTGAGAGAGTGGAATTTTTTTTTTTTCCACCCTTTCCATAATTGGAAATCAAACCAAAAATCATCATTAGCACAGCAAAAATCATCATCATCAACCAAACACATCATCATCATCACATATAAAGATCAACCAAAAAACAAACCCACCATGGAGATCAACCAAAAAAAAAAAATGTAAGAACCCACCCAACACATCAAAATCAAATATCAAAATCAAAATCAAAATAAAAAAAACAAACCAGATCTACCATCACCATCACCGTCCATCGCCCCTCGTCGCCCACGTCTTGCACCGTCGCCATCTCCATCTCTTTCTTCCTTCCAGCTCTCTCTCTGTGTTTGCCCTCCCTTTCTTTCTTCTCTCTTCCTCTCTTTCTGTCACGCTCTCTCTTCCTTTTCAGATATAAAAGAGCAAAACAAAAAAAAAATTGCCCAAAATGACGTCGTTTTGAGCAGTTGAGCCATTCGGGGCAGAAATGTTTCGTAACTATAAATTCTCAAGCTAACGCTTCTTCTTTGTATTAGTGAATTATGGCATAGGAGAAACTTTAATTTTATGACTAAGTAGACATATTTTAAACTTTTACAAAATAGACAAGGGATAGTTAATAAATTGATAAATATAATTTATTATATGATTGGGCCAGCTCTAACATAAAAGAAACTAAATTATAAAACTTATAAGACAAAACGTATTTATATTTTATTGTAATATAATTTTTATAATTTTATTGTACTTTTTTTAAAATATATTTTATCATAGTTTATTTATTTTTTATAAATAAATTTATGTTATTATTTAATTTAATTTTTTTTAGCTAGTTATTCAATCTCGTATATAACACGGATATTATGTTAGTAATATTTAAAACGTGGGGCTCTTTTTACTTAAACATTGTGGAGATCACCATGTAGTTGGTAAAATTTTAAAAGGAAATTATTAAGTTTTGTTTTAGTTTAAAGATTTCTATTGAGTCTAATTAAAGTTTCAATATGCACAATAAAATTAAATTTGATTTTTTATAAAGTACCCCATGTTATATCCTATGCTAATCGTACTCTTTCTAATGCTCGATTAAACTACACTACCACTGAGAAAGAGTTACTAGCTGTTATCTTTGCACTTGATAAGCTTCGGTTATACCTCGTAGGGTCTAAAGTCATAATCTTCACTGATCATGCCACTTTGCGATACTTACTATCAAAGAAAGAGATCAAACCTAGGTTGATTAGGTGGATTCTATTCCTTCAGGAGTTTGACCTAGAAATCCGAGACAAGAAGGGATCTGAGAATACAGCTGTAAATCATCTCTTCCGAATCTTTATTGAGCACATGAGTGATCCCTTAGCCTTGCACGACTCATTTCTGGACGAGCAACTTCTTGCGGTATTATACGTGACATAGTTAATTACTTAACGGTTGGTCAAATTCCTTAAACTTGGTCTAAGCAAGATAAAAACCGATTTTTCTCACAAGTCAAGCATTATTTCTGGGAAGACTCGGAATTGTTCAAATATTGTCCGGATCAAGTGATTTGGCATTGTGTGCCTGAGAGTGAAACCCATAGCATTTTCACATTTTGTCACTCTCATGCATGTAGCGATCGTTTCAGTGGGCAGAAAATGGCTGCCAAGGTTTTACAATGTGGGTTTTGTTGGCCCTCTATCTTCAAAGATGCCCATAACTTCTGCAGAACTTGTGAGCGTTATCAACGCATGGGCTCTATGTCACGATGAGATATGATGCCGATGACCCCTATTTTGATTATTGAGATTTTTGATGTTTGGGGCATTGACTTCATGGGTCCCTTTCCACCATCTTTCGGATTTGAATACATTTTAGTCGTTGTGAACTATGTCTCCAAGTGGGTTGAGGTAGTGGTTACCAGAACGAATGACCATAAAGTTATGGTTAAATTCCTCCATGAGACAATTTTTTGTTGTTTTGGGTTCTCACATACCATAATTAGTGACGGTGACAAACATTTTTGCAACCAATTCTTCGAGGCATTGGTGCACAAATACATGATCACTCACAAAGTTGACACTCCCTACCATCCCCAGACTAGTGGTCAGGTAGAGATTTCTAATAGAGAAGTTAAACAAATCCTCGAGAAAACTATGAGGCCCGATAGAAAAGATTGGTCCATTAGGTTAGTTGATGCACTTCAGGCCTATCGCACTGCATATAAGACACCCATCGGGATGTCTCCATATAGAGTTGTGCTCGGAAAACCGTGCCATCTACTTGTTAAGTTAAAACACCGGGCTTTGTGGGCTATTAGGAAGTTCAATTTTGATATGGCCAAAGCCGGTGACCACCGGAAGCTCCAACTTAATGAGTTAGAGGAGCTCGACAATGATGCATATGAGAGCTTCAAAATTTACAAGGCTAGGAGTAAGGCATTTCATGATAAACACATTTCTCATAAGTCCTTCAAGCCTCACCAAAAAGTGTGGCTGTTCAATGCCAAATTGCGGTTGTTCCCAAGTAAACTCCGGTCTCGATGGGATGACCCATATGAGGTTATAGAAGTCTTTCTAGATGGGGTGGTTGAGATTAAAAATCCATGAGATGGCATGACTTTCAAGGTCAACGGCCAAAGATTGAAAAATTATGTGGATGGTATTGAGAAATAAGAGATGATTGAGGTTGTCCACTTGACGGACCCAATATATCTTCCATAGTAATTGCTTTGAGTCTAGGAAACTTTAAATCCTCTAAGGGTATAAATCCTTTGGTGTTAGCCGTGTTCGAACGACATCTAACGGTCTGGTATAGCCATCTAACTATGTTTGTAGTGAGTTCCTAGGAAACCAGCTGAGACAGTGAAAACTAGAGTTCGAACAGCAAAGCCTAGAATGCACAAGTTTAGAATTTCTTAGACTAAAGTCTGGTTTGAATACCCAGGAGTGTGGAGATTGCTTCAAAACCGCCCTGGCTTAAACTTTGTATGGCAGCCCCATAGGTCGAGTTAGCCTTAGGCGCCTTGATTCTGGATATTGAATCAACCTAGTCTGTCACCCTGTTGGAGAATAGGAAAAGTTACAAACATAGTTAGGGGGAAAAGTAGTACTCGTGGTTTTCGCATAAAGATTATACCTTTGTTGCACATTTCGATGTTTTCGAAGCGCTATTTTCATTTCAGATGTACAATGAATGTAGAAATGGTTTGTAGTTGTTTTGGGTTATGCTTGGTTTAAATAAAAAAATAAAAAAAATCCTGTACGTGCAACAAAACCCACCGCACGTGCAGCTAAGTATTCAGTCCCCAAATTTGCTACTACGTTAAAAGCATGTACGTGAGGTGGTATGGGTGTGCGTCCGTATGTGTGGCGTTGAAAAAAAAAAAATTCCCGCACGTGCGGCAAAATCCTCACACATGTGTCAAAAGATTCATTCCACAAGTTTAAGCCAGCTTTAAACTTGTCTTCCAGCTGAACGACCTCCCCATTAATCCGACTAAGGAGATTGACACAGCTTATCCGACTTTCGGGCAGCGGGAATGGCAGCATAGCATATCCCGCATCCCGCAACAAGTTGGTGCCTCGGTTGATGAGGCCCAGGACCCTGTCCACGACCAACCACCTTATCTTGCCTCCCCTGTGCCTCACCAAAGGGACCCACTATACATAACTCACGAGAAGTACTTACAGCATTAGCACTTTGTGGATCAGGTCCACAGTACTCTTCGTGATCACCACCAGATTCTCATGGGGTTGCGCACAGATTTTCAGGCGCATCGAGACTATTCTTCAAGCAGCTTTTGACCAGCTCAACGCCCACCATCTCGACATTCAGTAATCAATTGCATCACTGCAAACTGACTTTTACACATTTCGAGAGTTGAGCCAACAACGTTTTGACCAGCTCGACGCTTGAGTTCAGGATGAAGCATTCAAGATGCAGTCATTGATGAATGCCTTGTCTGTACAGCATTTCCCGCCACCACTGCCACTGAATTCTTAGTAGTACCGGCCTATCTTTTGCTTTGTCTTTTTTATTTCTATTTTTACTTCTAGTTATTTTTTCTTTTGTAAAAAAAAAAAAAAAGGGAAAAAAAAAAAAGAGTAAAGTGTGTGTGTGTGTTACTATTTGTCTACCTAGATGTGCACCTACAATCTCTGATAACATTCTCTTATTTCTATTTACTTGGCTTTTACTTCCAACGAGGACAATGTCATATTCAAGTTGGGGGATGAGGGTATTTTCTTTTATGGATTTCTATTTGGCTCCTAATTCATGCTTATACCTGCTTTACTTGATTACACTACTCTACTTGATGTCGACTTATTGCTAGCAGGGTGATGATATTTGCATATGTTAATTGAAAAGCATAGTAGAGTTGTATGAAAAGGGTTTATTGGGTAAATACTCGCATGTGATGTTTGCGCTAGGATAATTGTTTGTGGTTGTGACATTAATACACTTATCATGAGTATGCCTTGACTCACATGAACACACTATCATTGCGGTGACCTCTCTATTATAATCTCTAGTGTACATCATTGATAATTGCTAGTGTTGCAGGAAAGAATAAATGACTAGCCTTGATTCTCAAAATAAATCAATATAAAAAAATAAAAATAAAAAAACGCTTGACTTATTTGGGTTCGTAACCTCTTTAACTCAAGTTATTAAGCTCGAAGGGATGTCTTCACACCTAGTGCCCTAAAACCGTCTGGTTTGGGAGTCATTGACCCAATACTTGCTATATGGGCTAATTAGAAAGCTTAAGGGACCTAGACATTGCACAGTTACGGAAAATAAAGAAAAAGACTTGTTTGGATACGTAGCATTTTCAACTCAAGTTATTAAGCTCGTAGGGGTGTCTTCACACCTAGTGCCCTAAAACTGTCTGGTTTGGGAATCATTGGCCCAATGCTTGCTACAAGGGTTGATTAGAAAGCTTAATGGATCAGGACATTGCACAGTCTTTCAAAAAAAAAAAAATTATACAAAACAAAACAAAATAAAACAAAAAAACATTTTGAGAATTGTTGCAAAAGTTTAATCTTATCTGTATATGTTGGGGGTTATTATAAGTTACACTGGGCTATTATAGTGGTCAGTTAACTAGTTATGGAGATTGTACGTTATGCCGAGGTAACTGATGATGTGTGCTACTAACATTCACAAGTACATGTAACTTGATTTGTGTAATATTGAATTGCGGTCTCTACTCAATAGATTCCTTCATGCTTGTCTACTGTGCTTCCAATGACTCATCATGTCTCAATATTGCACTGTAATGGCACATAAGTTAATTCTTGAGTAGAGTAGTGTGATTGATTGTTGCTGGATAGATGTGAATATGTTAATGTTTGTGGGTATCATTTTTGAAAACCCTCACGAGACTTTACTTATCCACTCGGGGTAACTCTATGGTTTAAAGGCTTGTTGCATATGTTAAATGCAACCGTTCTTCCCACGAAAGAGGAAATAGCTAGATTTTGTTTTATTTTATTTTATTTAATTTTTATTGCTTGCTTGAGGACTAACAAGTTGTAAGTTGGGGGATGTGATTAAGGCCGAATTGTGCAACATTGAGGCTGTTAATTAAGATATCTTAACTTTACTTGCTTGTCAAACTATATATTTTATGCCTGTTTAATGTCAATTAGGTTGTACATAGTCGGAGCATAAAATGGGCAAAAATACAGAATTTGGAGAGAAAAGAGCTTCCTGCATGTGCGGAGGGTTTTCCTGCATGTGCGTTGACTTTTTCCGCACGTTCGGCCGTACCTCGGAAAAGTTTTAAACCTGTTTGAAAGACAGCAGAGGTATAAAAAGGCAAGAAAGATGTTGGATTAGGGTTCTGATTTTTTTCTTGAAGGAGAGAGAGGCTAGGGTTTGAAGGAGAGGATTCTCAAGGTTTCAATTCAACTTCCATGGGGTCTTCCACCCCTTCTAACTCCTTCATGAGTGGCTAGGCTCTTTCTTTCTAAGGTTTTGATGAAACCCTACCTATGTAATTCGGTTTTCTCTTTGCGCTTTGATTATGTAAAGGTTTGAACAAATTGTATGGTGTCTATGAAATTTCAAATATTTATTTTTCATTATTTCTTTAAGTATTCTGCTTTCTGTGATTGTTGAATGGTTCCCATACAATAATTTTTTATTCTCCCACATTCAAGGTATGAGACAAACCATACCACGATGGACGAGTCGTGTAGCTACCCTAGTTTAGAGCGAATGATTAGTACTACTTGAGATGGTTCGTGCCCGTACATTGAACGTGATGATTTTCTTGATAAATGCTTCGAACTTGTAGTTGCGAAGTATTATTCCGTTCGAACCGTAACATAATTGAGTCTCAAATTGAAACATTATTTAAGTAACTAGTGGTGGACTTATTACCCTAGGTTTTTCCAAAAATCAAAAATTCCAATTTTATTTATAATTGCTAGTTTAATCACTTTGTTTGATTTACTTATTATTAGTTTATGAACAATCAATCTTTTAATCAAAATTAATTTAGGAATTTAGCGATTAAATTAGTCAAATTTCACATTTGTCCTTGTGGATCGATACTTGGACTTGTCACTATTCTAAAAGAATTTGGAATAGTTTAGTGTTTATATTTGGTGTGTATAACAATCCATCATGAATGTTCACACTAAAACATATGAATATGAATGTGAATGTTGACATGAATTCTGGAATGTAGATGTTAACATTATGAACATTAACATTTGTACTCACATTCATATATTTTAGTGTGAACATTCACGTTATGTTTATATTCAAATAAAAGTTGAGGCTTTGTGTAATTTGATACAATGCTGATGTGAACCTTAACATCACCTTTATCACAATGTCATATGATGTGAACATTCACGTTCACATCATTTAATATGAACATTCACGTCATCACGTACAGTCAACATTTGGATGCATGAGAACTACCAAAACATAATGACAATCAATAAATAACCATATTTAATTTTGTGTGTATAATATCGGTGGTGCTACATGCACCAATTAGTATACTAACTAATGTATCAACATGAGTTATGATATTATTATTGATCTCACTCATTATATAAATTATAAATACAAAAAACCTCTTAAATTATGTTACATCATCAATTGGTACACTAGTTAATACACTAATTGATGCATATAACATTATTCGTGTAATATATATCAACATTAAATAGTGGTTTGTAGTTAATGCATTTTTTTGGAGTAAAGATATGGGGAATAGGAATTGTTTTGTTTTTAGAATAGAGGGAGAGTACTTTGGTCTTACTTCTCCCTCCCCTCAGGAAAAGAAACAGAGAAAACCGAGTCTGGTTCGCAAACCAAGACAAGGCACAGAAAAGGGTTCGGAAGTCCGGAGGTAGGGCTTACGGCCGCGGCTCTGAAACTTCTGAACGAGCACATTATGCAACATCACCAAGCGCTCAATTGGTGACGTCTGAGTCTTAAGGTCGGTCAAAAATGGGGTGTCTACACCTTTTATTCGTCGGTGGAGTTTTGGTGGCTCTTCTAACGGTTTGGGCTCTCTCGTCCTTCATAAACCCTGACCCTAGTTTTGGTTTCTCAGAGAACGAAACGAAGGCATCGA